AATTAATTTTATTACAATATCCTCCATAGTTCTTTCTACAAAAAAAGGAGGGGCGGGATATCTTTAATACCCTCGACCAAGTCTAGAAGAAGGGCCAAAAAAGAGGGACGAGATATCTTTAATACCCTCGACCAAGTCCAGAAGAAGGGCATGGTCGCCTCCTGACCGCTGCCAAAGAAGAATCATCAAGGGAGTCGCTAGCCGACCTCAAAGCATCAACTTCTCGTTCCAGTCCCTGGATAGTCCTGGATTGTCTGGAGCTGATGGTCTGGTAGCGCCCCAGCAACCTCTCCGTCTCGGCCAGTTCAACCTTCAAGGTAGCGTCTCTCCGCCTCTTCCCTGGCTGATCTCTCTACGGCCAGCAAGTGATCAAGCCGGCAGAATAGAGCCAACTCTAATAAAGCCCCTTGGGTCTGACAGGCTTGAAAAGCCTGATAAATGTTGTTGCTTGACATTTTCTTCAGACTCCCCTCGCCAGCATCACCGCCAAGGCAAGGAGAAGACTCATTTGAGCTATCCACCTCATTGACTGAAGCAAGAGGCTCTTTACCGGGTCGACGAGACGGTTTAGGTCTCAGGGAAAACTCCCCAGCAAACCCTGCATCCACAGAGTCGGCCAAGTCCCTTCTCCTATCCCTCGCCCCACCAGAAGAGGGAGCAACCTCAATCATGAGGAGCCTCCTGTCAGAATCCCCCTCCACATTGAGGGGCCCCCTTGATCTCTTCCGAGACTCCCCAGCAGAGCCTTCCCTCTCGACCCCGAGCCTCCTGTTACATACCTCCACCGACGGAGGAATAGGAGAGCTCACCCTGACCGCGAAGCCAGTTGAAGACAAGATCATGGATATGTACTCCACCAAGTCCTTCACGTCCAAAGGTCCAGCATAAGAAAAGATCTTCTCCAAGGCCTCCTTCTCCAGACCACTAAGAGCAACTGGCCTTAGGGCCTCCATGTTCGCCTCTGGCCAGGTCGAGCAGACAAAGATGTCATCGGCTCCATAAGCCCACACAAAGTACTCCCTCCAATCTTCCCCCAACTTTGGAAGATCCAAGGAGAGCTTGAAACTATCGTCAATACGATAAAAATAGTGTGGGTCCCTTTCAGTCGATCCCACACTCAACAAGTGGCCAAGTACTTTCATGCTGGGCCGTACTCTAACTCGATAGCAGATGACCACAAAGGCTACCAAAACCCCCTACCTCATTCAGATAAACTGCATGGGGGAAACCCCCAGAGCTGCATGTACTCCCTTGACAAATGGATGAAGAGGCAGCCGCAAACCCTGCTCCAGATGTGCTAAGTACAATGACAGTACAATGACACTCGCCCCTCGCCATGATTGTATACAGACTCCGTCAGCTTGGGCTCCTCAAGTGTTAAGCCTTGAACGCAGACGTCGAAGCACGACAAACTTTTCTTCACGATGGTTAGAAGTGGGAGCTAGAGAAGCCATGAAAAGGTTTCTTCGTTACAAAGTTCAACGATTTTTCTGTGAGAAAATCTTCTCAGCCCGTAGGATATTTATAAGCGTCCAAGAGAAGCATGTAGAAGAACTCAAGAGGCACAACCTTGAAGCGACTAAGAAAGATCCACTTTGATAATCTGAAACGGATCGCTCAAAATACCAATCGCCGCTCGTACACATTAATCCACGCCAATAAATTGGCAATGAAGCACCACTCGTTTTGTCCATGACACTTTCTATGACGGTGGGACAGAAATCCCTACACCACGTCTTCAGCCACGATCAACTGGCTAAGAATCCTCAGCAACCTTGGGCAAGTTTATACAGATCAAAAGCTTATATCTATTTCACTCGAACCCGACTAAAGTCGACTCTGAGTAAAAAGGGCCATCTGTTATGGTAATTCGCCATCTAAAGATAAAAATATCAAGAAACTGTTTTCATAGGCCCAAAAGAGCTATGGCCCAAGGCAGCTTAGCGACCCAAAACCCAGTCAAGAACAAATCTATTGACCCATCGAACGACGAGTCATCTTTACTGACGCGAAGCACGGGATCAATCGACCCCTCATAATCAAGACGACTCCTCAAATAGTCGGCTTAACCATCTCCTCGGCTGTCTACTCGGCCAGAGGCTCACTCGACCGTCTGATCAGCAAGTCATGGGGATGATTCAAAAAACCGTCCCATCTCTACTAAGGGGATAAGATCCAACTAAGCTCTCTTCAGATATACATCAATCAATACTACAGTATTGATTGATCCTATCCAGATCTCAACTCTAACAAATCTCGTGCATGTACAGCTTTCTCTGGCTCACAAGTCACTTCCCAGATATTACTAAGATATCCTCTACAGGGATCATTTCTCCCTCTTGATCTATTTTTTCTTTTTACTAATAACTCAAAGAGAGTACCCCCTACAAGGATCTCAATGGCCCCGGGACTCTCCCAAAAACCCCACTCAAGCTCACCACCTGACTTAACCGTCGGAGGTACCACGGGGGAAACAAGCTCCGTCCTCTTACGATTCTTGCGTGTGCAGGTCATCCGTCAGTCCCGAGCTCTAAGAATCAGGCATAAAGTTAGAGGAGGAGTCAGCCCCATCTCTCATCTTCTCACTCTTCGTCATCAGTGCGAAAATCTGAGCTGCATCCATCAGCGGATAGTTCTCATTGGCTGTGTGATATCGAACATCAACATATACATATATAAAAACTAATAGACATTTGCCAATAATACCAGTACATGGTTTCACGTGTGTTTAAAAACTAATGGAAAAATAATGTTGTCACAACAGAAGATGCATCTAATAAATAATCATACTCTCATAGTGAAAGACGTGCTTACAGAAAATGAACCAGACTATTCTAACTTCAACCTTCTGTCACTACTCGAAATATTTCATGAGCAAATAAATCAAAGTTAAACCTTAAAAAGATGAACACAAACCAGGTATTGAATTAGAGATATAGATGGATCAAACCTTGGTGGAGGGCAAGGAGAGTGGGGGGAGAGAGCATCTGAGAGAACTTCGCTGAAAGATCGAAGACATATAATTATACTGTCATTAAGTAATATCGAAAAGTGAATGCTTTCGATTGTTAGTGCCTAGTTCTTAAGGTCAAATTATAATTAAAATGCTGGGAATAAAACAACAAAAACAAATCTCGAACGCACGAAACTAACAGGCCTCTGCATATCAGGCTTATTGAAATTGCAAATTTGCAAAACTATAGCCGAAAAGACCCATAATTAATCTCTACAACCCATTAATAAGTCATAAATTTGCAATCTACGAAAACTTAGATCTTTTATATATCATCTAACTAATAAACTCCCTTTACAAAAATGAGTTTAATCAAATAAATAATCATGTGATCCATTAAACCTTATCTCAGTCATAAGTTCATATATACTCCCATTGGCATTAAAAGAAAAAAAAAAAGAACTAGGATATATACTTGTCCAACCTCTACCAGCAATTCCCTCCCTTGGACGTGAACACAAAAGCTTGTTTGTGGGTTGGGTCGGATCCAATTCGACCCATAATAAAAACAAAACCTGACCTGTGAATGCTGCAGCTAATAATGGAGAAGAGAAGAACTTGGCCTTTTTATGATATATAAGATGCATGAACCGAGTTATACTGGTAATTGCCATGAGAATCGAACCTGGGCGTAAATTTCCCTTCGTTGTTTTTAGTCCCACATCGGTTAGGGGTGTGAGAAAAGACAAGACAGCTGCTATATAGGCGGATCGTGGGCTAGGGTTTAAAGCATACCTTTCTCGGCCTTTTGGCTAAGATCAAGTGTAGTATCTGTTCTTATCAGTTTAATATCTGATGGCTAAGATCAAGTGTAGTATCTGTTCTTATCAGTTTAATATCTGATACGTGGGCCATCGGCCCACTATGATATTAAATTAATTTTTGTTGGTATCAGTTTAATATCTGATACGTGGGCCATCGGCCCACTATGATATTAAATTAATTTTTGTTGGGGGAGAGCCCATCACTGCAGCTTGCTGCTGGGGCTCTCGAGCGTCGCCCGTGCGTTGCACTACTGCACGGGCCTGGCGCGCCCCTACCAAATCATATTTGAAATTTAATTTCTCTAAATTGGAATGGCAATATTATAGTTGCTGTACATATATTTGGGCTTCATTTCGGTCTTTTCACCCATAAAAAAGCCAATGCCTAGCCCATATAAAAAGTTAAATTTAAAACAAAATGGAACAAAGAAGTAATATGAGCTCTCAATCCATAATAAAAATTGTACTGTAGCCCAATTACTTGGGGTGCACAGTGGGTTCCCAAAAAGAACAGAATGTATAAATAAATAAAATTGATTTTACATACAATCTATTGAATTGGAAAACAATTGTCTGATGATTCGATTATTAAAATTAAAAATGTCCCTGATAGTAAAGGAGGGATCAGTTAACATATATTAATAAGAGCAAAAATGTCCAATATATATGTGTCCACAAGTATCATGTCTGCCATTCACGATGGGTTAGGTTTTTTTTTTGGATATTCTCTCTAAAAGAAAAGATAATTTATGATTATGTCTCTAATAAAGATAGTTTAAGTGTTTATAGACTGTGAAAGTATTAAGTATGGACGTCATTTAATGTGCACGAATCTCAAGGTCTAATTATCTAATGGTTGACATCATATTTGGTGCACGTTAAATGTCATGAACTAGGGACCATTTCATATGTTCTCTAAAGGAACGTACAACTTCTGTGAAACTTATCTAAAACTTAAGAGTGTGCAACCTAAGTAAAAGATATAAAGAGTTAAGCTTTAGCAATGACGTATTTGCCAAAACTAGCTCACTTGACTCAATGGGAGACCAGGCTAGACGAATCACAGCTCGAACAGAAAACTGTATAACGAAACCCGAGCGCATGAGTTCAATTGTACTGGCAACTAATTACCCAGGCCAAAATAAATCCAAGGCATATCAAAGCTTTATTTAATTAACAAGTAGTAGAATCAGATCCATGTGCCACAATTTTAACAAACAAAGGATCTAAATTTAATTAATCTTTATAATTTCAATAATTGAGCTTTACTTGACACAATATTTTATAAAGTACAGTCCGAGGTAAACTTAAGCTCTTAAATGCAACTAACTAAGGACACGTTGACCAATATAAAACTGCTTACATTCAATACTATCATCAATCCCTTTGTTGCTTCCCAATAAAATAAATCTAATTTTGGGACTGTATTCTATCAAGTTGCATTTCAATTTTATACACCTATTTATTCATCAATTTTGTTCATCTGTTCTTTCCTTCATCTTTCATACCCCTTCTGCGTACTCTAGCATCGCCTTGTTCAGCTTCTTGCCCTTGATCTTCTGCTGCCTCACTCTCAATCCCTCACTGTAGAATAAAATTAGCTTAGACTATTAATTTGAACATTAAATAATAATTCTAAACCCTGATCAAAGTTTGGGTATACTATACACACTGTATGATGTGATATGTTTTTTCGTTAGTTTTTTAACTCCTAAGAGAATCATGCAATGATCAGCAATAGAAATTTGTCAAGAACATTTTCACGTAAGTTTAAAAACTAACTAAGAAATAACGGGGATAAAAAATTTTAATTTATTGTTATTAATGATTAGAAGATGCATATGCTAATGAAGTACGTAATGAATGATAAATAATTGCACTCTCATGGTTTTTTTTATAAAAAATGTACTTATGGTCGAAGCAAACCATAGCACTACAAATTTTTCATGACCAAATAAGTCAAAATTAAACCTCAAATAACAAAACGCAAACTAACTTATAAGACTTAAATTGAGATAATTAAGAAATAGCTCAGACCTTGGTGGAGGGCAAGCAGCATAAGCAGAGAGCATCTGAGAGAACTTAACAACGTCTTCAGGTCGACAAACAGCATGATTGAAACAGAGGTATCGACCGTACGCCGACGGGCTCTCAAAAACGTAAATGTGAGCGTCGACGAGGAATTTGATGTCGACAGTTACGAGTACGCCGTCCTCGTACATCTCCGGCGCGCCTTTTAGGTACGGCGTCGTGACCGGGATCTCACGGCCGGTCAACAGGCCGGAGTTTATCGACACCATGTCGACTCCTCGATCCATAGCCAGCGCCCATGCTGTTTTCTCGGCTAGAGTCTTCGCCAGAGCATGCCATAGCTGCAATTCGTAGAGAGAGAGAGAGAGAGAGAGAGAGAGAGAGAGAGAGAGAGTTATCATATATAAGTGGCCGATTATTTGTGATATGAAATATAAATATTTTTTATAATATTTTAAGAAAAACGATTAAGAAAATTATTAAAGCTAAGTTAACTTATCTATTCAAGTAATAAAAAGTTAAATTAGTTAATTCTTGAAGTAGATTTATTGCACAGAGACCCCATAGTATATATCATTGTTTTGAACTTAGTACCCTTGTAGTTTCTTCCTTTTTTTTTCTTTTTTTTAAACATTTCTCTTGTAGTTTCATTATCACAGATTTTCCTTTGGACTATTTTTTTTAACCCAAGGACAATATCGGTCAAAATTTCACCAAGCGTGAAAGAGTCAAAAAGTTTTACCCGGATGTCTAAGTCTATTTGCGACAACAAAACTGCAAGGGCAGTAATTAATTGCAACATAACAATACTACGAAGGGTTAATGTGCAACCCTTTATCCAAATATTTGAGCCCTTGTTAAGTGTTTAAGAAGCGAAAACATTCAATAATTTTTTTTAAAACAAGAAGAAGAGAGAAAGAGAAAATATTAGTATTGCTTTTTTCATTAATAGAAGAAATGTATTTTTAATACGTCTGGAAAAAAAAAGATGAAGTTAGCTAGGTAAAATGCCACCTACTGTATTAGAATATTAAGATTAAAATTATTAGATTGCTATATTTTGTTGATCATAAGTATTAACTTTGTATATTTTAGTACTCCGGTAATGATAATATATATAAAGTGAGAAACGGTAGCAACAAGGCCTATTTTTTGACGGACCTAAAAATTTCAGTGTGATCACCACATGTGACGAGTCGTATGTGTCTTAAATGGCTTAATTGGACTTACATAAAAGGGTAGCCCAGTGCACGAGGCTCCAACCATTATGAGCTCTGGGGAGGGTTAGATGCACACAACCTTAATTACCCTCGCATGCGAAGAGGCTGCTTCTAGTATTATGAGCTCTGGGGAGGGTTAGTGCACGAGTCGTATGTGTCTTAAATGGCTTAATTGGACTTACATAAAAGGGTAGCTCAGTGCACGAGGCTCCAACCATTATGAGCTCTGGGGAGGGTTAGATGCACACAACCTTACCCTCGCATGCGAAGAGGCTGCTTCTAGTATTTGAACCCATAACCTTGTGTCACAAGGCAATAACCTTACCGTTGCACCAAGGCTCACCCTCCTTAATTGGACTTACATGATTTCGATTAATTGGGATCTTAACAGAATGAGGCCCTTCTGAGTCTTAATTTGAAAAAAAAACTTTGATTGTCACCCTTTCGAGCCATAATTTGAATGGTCCCAAGTTAATTCTAAGAGGAAGAAGAACATCCAATCTAAACCCAATTTAACTATCCTAACTCAATTTTAACTCCAGAAGGAAGAAGAACACCTAATTTGATCCACACCCTTTTGAGCGCTAATTGAGAAAAAAAAATCAGCTAAAATGAATGAGCCTAACTATCAGTCACATAAGAAACTACATTAACACCATGTGACGAGTCAGATGACATTTAGTCGACAAAAAATTGAGTCCGGACAAAAAATATCTTATTGTCACCGTGTTCCACTTTATACATCCTTATCATCACTAGAGTAACAAAATACACCATAGTGGTTCTTAACGTCAACAAAATATACATGCCTGATAATTTTGCCGAATATTAAGACATTATTACTTGTTGACATGAGTACTTGTTATCGATATGCCTCCACGAAATAATTGATCAAATACGCAACTAGTTGTTTTTTATGTGTCATTATTCTGATTAAGACCCTTGCAATAATTGATGAGGAAAAGTCAAATCCAAATTCTTAAATCAAACCCTCACGTTTAATCATGAAATAAAAATTCTGATTGGAAATAATTTAAGAATATTTGACCTGATTTATCTTTTGTTTAAGAACGCCAGGTGCATGCACATGATCAGTCAAGAGGCCAGAACAGATGGTGAGGTTCTTAAATATCTTCTTAAATTATATAGGGACCTCGATGTAATTGTCCTAATCAATCAATTTTTAAGGCTTGACTCTGTCTGTGCAATCTGATGATGAAATGAACCCAGCAATCTTTTACCTAAAGTTTTCCACTGTTTAGCTAAATATATTATTCTCCTACTCTTTCATTGATGAGTATAGGTAAGCTAACTTCCTAATAAGAATAAGGCTGTGTAAATATAGAAAGTACAATGTTGTTCTCATTAAGAAAATATTAAACAAGAAAATTGAGTTATCTTAAACTTGGGGCCAAAACACACCTGAAAGTGTTGTTAACCTACCCCTTTGAAAAAGGATCAAATGGGATGTAATCTAAATGAAGAAAGTCTTTGACTCCTCTTATCACACAAAATCAAAAGTAAAGTCTAAGAGCATCTCCAAGAGTGATCTTAGGTTTTTCCTATATTTGAGGAGCAAATCTCTCATCCTAGGAAATAGAGAATCAAATAAGGAGTAAGTGCTCCAACAATGCTCCTCAAATAGCTCCCGGTCTCATGTCTTAGACTAAATATAGGGAGTAAGAGGGGGGACAAGTTGCTCCAACAATGCTTCCTATGTTGAGACTAAATATAGGGAGTCACTTTGTTATCATTGATTTGGAATACCAAATCATATTCCCTATATTTAGTCTCTAACATATGGAGTCTGTTGGAGCAACTTTTTCCCTTCCTACTCCCTATATTTAGTCAAGGACATGAGATATGGAGGCTGTTGGAGATGCTCTAAGCATTCTAAAACTGGGAGTTCTCCAACTATTAACAAAAAGTTACGAGTATAGGTAATCAAATATTAAGTAAGTATATCCGAATAACATTCTATTGATCAACTATAAAATAGGGGGAGAAAAGGAGATATTACCTTCAATTTACGGCAGAAATTGGGCTCACTCCAGTCTCTCTCATCGAGATCGTCCATCGATTTCCGGCCCTCCTTCCAGACGACGGCGGTTACCGACGAAGTGAACACCACCCTCTCCATGGTTTCCGTTTGAGCACAGGCTTCCAATACATTGTGTGCAGTTCTCACCTCCATTTCAACCATACAGTCCTGCATTGTTCAATATTAAAAAAATATACTTTAAATTACTAGATGCAGTTAATATATATGAGGAATTTTTTTTACTAGAAAAGAAATTATATATATATTTCAAGCTGGATATATTAGGAGATAAGAATATAATAGGAACTTCATATAAAGGGTTAATTGCGGATAGACTTCATATAGTATCGCCCAATTGTGGATTGTGGATGGACACCCTGCAGTCTGTTGTTGCATTAATAAACCCCATTAGGGTTTTTTTATTACTCATTTTTCCTTAGGAGGTTGTCAGCAACCATAGAACTATAGAGGGTTCATCCAAGCAAGTGAGTAATACTAAAGGGCGTCTATCCTCAATTAACCCTATTAAAATAGACATGCTTCATGGTGATAGATGTATTCAGGTTTTATATTATCAAAAGATTATATATTTTAGCAATAATTTAAATTTGCGTCTGAACAGCAAGAAATCATCAGACTTTTTTGGGCAACAATGATGTTGCCGGCTTGCAAAAAGAGTCAAAAACTGGTGCACATGTATCCAATTAATTAAACCCACACACAAGCTTTTCCATCTTTAACATGAGCGCAAGAAACTTAGAATAGACAAAAAAGATAGAAATTTAGAGCTTGCTGCGTGCAAGTTATTATTAGGGTTAATATCACAAAACCCCCCTGAACTTTGCAGGGTGTTGCACATTACCACACTAAACTTTGTTTATCTCACTTAACCCCCCCTAAACTATTGGGTGTCTCACAAAACACCCACCCTAAACTTTTACTTACCTCACCTAACCTCATGCCTGTAATTTATAAATAACTAAAATATCTTTGAGTGAAAACTTTTTAAACTTTATCACCTCCCCTTAAAGTTTGAGTGCTTTTCCTCTCAAGAAAATTTTAGTTATATTTGCAAAGTACAGGAAGGGGGGTTAAGTGAGATAAGCTGAAGTTCAGGGGGATTTTGTGAGGCACCCCATAGTTCATGGGAATTGAGAAAGAAAAACGAAGTTCAAAGGGGGTTATGTGCAACGTCCCCCAAAGTCCAGTGGGGTTTTGTGAAATTACCCTTATCATTAAGATCCGGTTGTTGTTGGGTTGGACCAGCTGCAGAGACCTACAAACAGAGGCTCATAAAACAGAGAGGGGCCCACTTTCAGAGATGCCAACTTGTGCGCTCTCTAATGCTTGGGGCCCACGCCCTTGGACTAGTTCATACAGGGGGCCCAATGTTTGTACTACCCATACAACATAGAAACAGTAGCAAACCCCGAGCAAGATACATCCTCGTCGACGTTTTCGGACCCTGGACACAAGCGAAGCACGTGCTTAACTATAACGTGCGGACGTGGACGTCTGTTATTTCAGAGCTCCGGATGATACAGAATTTATGATCTTGATTAGTGTACATGCAGAGTTACATGTACAGAGACGAGAAGGCCGGCCTCATTTTGGGCACCGCCGAAAAATTATTGCATCCGGCATCGGATTAAAAAGCGTAAAATATCTAGAAATTAAGAACCATGGTACGTAGAGTCTGAGCAGAGATATGGCATTTTTAATTAAGTTCAATAATAAAGCAGTAGTTTGTGGGGGCGTCTGCGATTACGTGAACTGCACAACCTAGCCTACGGTTCAAATGCTTGATCGATGCTGCACAAAACAGCTTGAACAATTAATGAGCTGAGCACATAGAGTAACTCACATCATAAATGGGCTGGTCCTTTGGAGTTTCAAAGCTGTAGAACAAACCAGAGCATCCTCTCAAAGCATCAACAATACTGTGATAGTCGAATGGGTCCGCTCGGAACACTTTAAGCATCTTGTTCTCCTCGCCAAGCACACCCTCCTTTGACGCTTCTACATCATCTAGTCAAAATTCCATACACGAAATAATAATATACGCATAAGAAAAAGAAGAAGGGGAAAAAAACCCAGCAAATTAAATTTTGATTATAGAAAAAAGGCGATCGAATTGGAGATAACCCCGCTCTCGACTTATCGATTGGCACTCATCATTCTTCATATTGACATTTTGATTAGATCAGAGATCTTATCTAAGTGCAAGTTAGGTGCCAAGCGGAAAATCCTAGGCACAAAAATCTGTCTATATCTGTCTAGGGGTAATTAAGTTGAAGAAATCCGTTTAGACGTTGCAAATTGATCGAGCAGTGAATTCAATAACGGGAGTTGGAGCTACAGAGTGCTGCAAAATTTGGCCACTAACCGTGGTTGCAGAGTGCGGCGTGGACGGTGTATCCTCGCTGGAGAAGGCTCTCGACGAGGGCGTTGCCGAGGCGACCGGAGGCGTCCATGACGCAGACGGTCTTGGAGCTCGGAAGGGCGCAGGCAGGTGCCATGAACTGTGAGCGCAGAGAAAATCAATCAAGAGTATATATTTAATTATGAGGCAACTTGGGTAGAGAAGCGAAGAGTTGGGGAGAATACAAAGGGGTCTCAGGTTGTATACATATATATATAGATAAATATAAGGGTAAATTACATTAAACTGCCCATGAACTTTCGGTGTTTTGTTGTAAATCTTTATGAACTTTCAAAACCACACATTTTACAGAAAACCCCCATGAACTTTCAGGTAACTTACACTAAACTCCCTTGAACTTTCAAAATGCCCGTTTATGTTGTTTTTTGGTTCAAATTTATGGAGGTTATTTACAAAAAACAGAAATTTCATTGGGGTTTTCTGCAACTCTAAAAAATTTCATAGAGGTTTATTGTGATTTTGAAAGTTCATAAGGGTTTGCTGAAAAATACTAAAAATGCATAGGCGTTTAGTGTAGTTTACCGTAATTAAAGAAATATTATCGAAGGAAGAAACTATATGTTTTTATGTTAATGTTATTTATGGGGTGGCGGCATTCAAAGGGCGTGGAAGCTGACAGGTGGGAGAGTGTAGTTGTTAGTTATATGTTGAGGTTGAGGTTGAGGTTAGAGAGAGAGGGAGAGAGAGATCCTTGATATTGAAGGGAAATTGTAGAGTTTGTGGGCAAAACGTGCTAGCTAGCTACCAAGCTATACTTTCTCTCTCTAAAATTTTCTCTTTCATTTAAATTGATAAAAAAAGACAAATTCATTAATGGGGAAATAAAAAGATAATTGAGGGCTTACGTGAATAACTTTCCTTCCGTGAAATTAGAATGAAAGGGACGAAAGGGGCCAAAAAACTTGTTCCTTTCAAAACTTGTGGTGGTGGTAAGTTGTGACTGTTAACTACACACTTGCACTTATCTCCACCCGGTGGCAACATGAGCAAGTCTCAACATTTCTTCCAAGGTCAGTTTGAAAATTTTAACTTCCCTCTTTACATACAATTTGAAATACTTGTATATGAATTGCTCTCTGTTTGGCAAAACTAGCTGAAAGCTACGAGATTATAGCTGAAAGCTGTTAAGCTAGCTGAAAGCTGTGAAATTATAGCTGAAAGCTGTTAGCTGTATAGCTAGTTGATTGACTAGAGCTGTTTGGCAAAAGTAGCTGTACAACTAGCTTAAATTTGTTAAATGACTAAAAAAGAGATGCAATATTATTAATATAAAATTAGAATTATTAGGGGCAAAACGAAAGAAAAAAATTGGCAGCTCCTTCCCAAAGACGAACGCTACTTGAGGTAGCTTTCCAAAAGCTACTTGCAAAAGACACAATCTCCAAAATAATCTCCTCCTATTTTTTTTTACCAAACAACTCTACTAGCTTATTGACCAAGTCAATAAGACATAAGCTCTTAGATAAGACACTTTTTTTGGTTGCCAAACAGTGCCTAACATTTGCATTTGAGAAAAACTCAAATGTTCTAAAAAAATAAACAACAATGAGATTCCAATTCTCTAATTTAAATTGTCTTGCTCGAGTAATTCAAGATGCTAATCAATATTCTTTTTTATTACACAGTGTAGAAAATGCCGAAGGATTTGAGAAAATCGTGCAGAAACACGAGTACAGGAAATTCCTCGGGTCAGTCGACCGACGGCATAGGTCCGGTCAACTGACAGATTGTTGAATTAAAGGATTTGAAACCCGTCTCTGGTTGGTTGACTGAACAGGTATGGTCGGTCGACCAAAAACGTGCACATTACAGGGTTCAGAATTCGGGTCTCTGGCCAGTCGACCGAAACAACATGTCCGGTTGACCGACAAGCGGTTATGGGCCTGTTTTGTTTTCCTGGTTGGTTTTGGTTTGGGTGTTTGATATAAATACAAACACGTTTTTTTAGGATTTCTTAAGGAGAGTATTAGCATTATTTTGAGCACTTAGAGATGGAGATATTGTGAGGGAGTTGAGAGCTTTGGTTAGGGTTATATTTGAGTGATTTTGGGAGTTGTAACCCGTTGTATTTCTCCTTCATATAATGAAATCTCCTATTCTCTCTCCGTGGACGTAGGCAATTGTCGAACCATATAAATCTCTATATTTGGTTTGATTTGTGTCGTATTTTTGGTGAATTGCATTCGTATTTGTTTTGGTTCTCTTCTCTCGTCGCTTACCAACTTGTTTAGTTGTCGAGCACGCTTCTGCACGACGCGCAACAATTGGTATCAGAGCTCTAAGGTTTCAAATCTAGGGTTTTGCATTGGGTGGAGGAAGATTTGTTGTTTGAAGCATGGTTCTTAGAGTTCTAGGCTTCGGTGAAGATAGCGTTGCGAAGTTACCGTTGGGATCTCGCTTTCCTTGTGTGGTTAGGAGATCGTGTTGGAATCCTATCTAGGATCCAGTTAGGTAATTTCTCAATTCTATCAAAGTTTGAATCTTTCTTTATAATTTGGAGTTTGTAAGCATAAGAGAAGAAGTTGGTGAAAGCGGCAAGACAATGATGAGTACAGTTCAGGTTGGACTTCAAAATACTAAGATTAGTATAGTGAAATATGACGGCAAGATTAATTTTGGTTTGTGGATGACAGACTTACAGGACGCTCTCAATGCTTAAATTTTGGAAGAGACCATCATGGTCCATGAGAGGCCACCAAAATACGATGAGACGATATGAGACAAGATGAATAGGAATGTTTGTGTGGTGATTAGGTCTTGCTTGGAACAAGAGCTGAAATACGATGTGATTGGGGTGATGTCTGCAATGAAGATATGGGATATTCTTAACAACAAGTACCTTACGAAGAGTGTTGAGAATCGATTGCACTTGCTGCGGAGATTATTCAGATTCCAGATGTCCAGGGGTACCTTGTAGGTACTAAAAAAATACCAAGGAATAAAGCAAGGTTGAACCTCGCTACAAGCATGACAAGGCTCGTCATAATGATGAACCTCATCTCAGCCATCGAAGCCCATCATGATGATGGGCGTCATTAAAGACGAAGTTCGTCATAAATGAAGTTCGTCATCGAAGACGAAGTTCAAGAGAAACGAAGTTCATCATTGAAGACGAAGTTTGCTAGAAACGAAGTTCGTCATTGAAGATGTAGTTCATCCAGAAACGAAGTTCGTCATTGAAGACGAAGTTCGCCAGAAACAAAGTTCGTCAATAAAGATGAAGTTCACCCAGAAACGAAGTTCGTCATTGAAGACGAAGTTCATCATTGAAGGTGAAGTTCACCCAGAAACGAAGTTCGTCATTGAAGATGAAGTTCATTAGAAATGAAGTTTGTCATTGAAGACGAAGTTCGCCCAGAAACGAAGTTTGTCATTAAAGATGAAGATCACTATTGTCATTATTGACGAACCTCACGCATAACCGAATCTCGTCTGTCATAATTTTCAGAGGCTACATTTAAGGAGGATTAATAATCAATAGCTCACTCATTTAAGCAGAATTAATGACCACTAACTCATCCATTTAAGGAGGGTTAATGATCACTGACTCTCTCATTATAAGGAGAGTTAAAGCCCATTAACTCACTCCATAATGGTCCTAAGCCTATAAATAGGCATGATCAATATGAAAGGAAGAGGGGAGATTGAGAGACTAGTCAAAAAGCCTATCTCTCCTCTACTCTCATGGATCTTCATAGATCATCGGCTAAACATTTGGTCATGGAACGTTGAAGCTAATAACAAGCATGACGAGGGTCATTACAATGACAGACCTCGTCTCAAACAACAAAGCTTGTCATTGGAAAAAAGATTTGAAGCGCGTCAATAAAGATGAAGCTCATCAATGAAGACAAAGCTCGTCAGACGAAGTCGGTGAAGACAAAGTTCGTCAAAAGAAACTCGCTATACTGCAAAGCCTACCTTGCCAGACAAACATCGTTGCATATTGAGGCTCGTCTGATCTGACGAACATTGTCAGGCAGCGACGCTTGTCGTCTGTGGGAGATCCAGCTGTAACGACTCCGAAGACCTAGTCAGTCACGTGGGCTAAACTTCAGGAGCACGTTACGCCCCATTAACCAACATGGGCTAAATTGGAGGAGGAAGTTATGCTTTCTACTCACAATTCTAGCACATCAGTTACGTGCTACGAACATTATAAATAGCCATGAGCGGCTATGAAGAAAGGACTTTTGGAGGATTTTTAGCTATCACGTGAAGAGAGATTAGTGTTTACGTTCTCGTGATCTAAATCACCATGAGAATCTTTTGTGATCTTGATCTGATCGTCAACGGGAAGCAATCTCGGTTTGAGTATCGAAAGAATCATCCTTTCGCCACCAAGAACCTACTTTTGAACAAAAGAGAAGTCAGATCAACCTTCTTTTCCTCTGTAATCGAGCGTGAGTGATTGTAAAATATTCTTACTAAGTGATAGAACCATTTTTTAAAACAAAGAATTCAATCATCAACTTTTTGACCTCACCACACCTCACTTACGGCTCATGTGAACAATTATACAAAGTTGTTGTCGGACTTGGCAAACGTGGATGAGAAGATAACGGACGAGTACAATGTGATTATTTTATTGAGCTCCTTACCCGATGAGGAGTATGATACATTCGTGCTCATTTTGTTAAATGATAGATCTTCCATCACCTATAATGAAGTGACTGATGTATTGACAAATTACGATTTGAGGAGGAAAGACAAAGAAACTTCCCGAGCTAGCATTTCAGGAGAGGCCTTGTCGACGAGAAGAAGAAATCCGTATCTAAGAGGTGGCAATAGAGACAGGTCAAAGTCAAGAGCCCACCACCAATTAGCGAAGAACCAGTGTGCGTTCTGCAAAGAACAAGAACATTCGAAAAGAGATTTCCCGAAGCTCAAAGAGAAAGAGAATAGCAAGAAGAATGGCCCGAAGGCCAATGAGGTGAACGTCGTTAGAGGTGATGATTCCGATGATTCGTGCTTTTCTCTATTGATTACTCCAGAGGTGAACCATGTGGATGCATCTGATTAGATGCTAGATTCTGGTGCTACTTACCATGTGACTCCCCGTCGAGATTGGTTTGCATTGTTCGAGAGACTCGATGTGGGCGTGGTAGTCATGGGAAATGATCAATCATGTGGTATTTGTGGGATAGG